GTTGCAGTAGTTCAAATCCAAAAAATAAGGTCCAAGCCTACAGGGTGACATTATATTATCAACAATACAAAACTTTCCACGCGGGTACGCGCACGCGTGGTCGGTGCTGCATTGTCCACACTGAAGAAGTGGGCGGGATCACCCGAAATCTGCTCGGTCATTGTTAAGGGTTCGTTTTGGTTTCCAATACAGCACGGTGACGCTCGAGTCTCGTCAATACACAACTCCCTTCGCGGGAACGCGCGCGAATGGAATTCTACATTGTCCACTCTAGGCATGCCGCCCCCTGGACTACAAATACCTTCTCACGAGACAGCAAGCACCCCTCAGCCGGACTACAGGCACCCTGCCCCCAGGCTACAAATACCCCCCCCTGGATTACAGGTACACCCCCGGACTACAGGCACCCCTCTGGAGCTACAGGTGCCCCCCGAGACTACAGGAACCCGCGAGTTCGCTATCCGCTCCGAGCCGAAGCGGTCCGCCTGGAATGTCTCAGCCCACTGCTGCCCATGCAGTATGCGCACATCGCCCATGTTGGGTCAGCGCTCGAGGCGGAGCACTCGCGAGGGGCGAATGGAGACGGAGAAAGGAATGAAACGATGTAACAAAAAGTGAGGGAGGGATGGAGAGAAAGAGATACAGAGAGAGAAAGAAAAAGAGAAAGAGGAAGATAAAGGATGGTCGGGGGAGGAGAAAGAGAGAAAGAGAGAGAGAGAGAAACAACAAAAAATAGGGAGAAGAAGAGAGAGAGAGAGAGAAAAAAAAAAGAGAAAGAAAGAGAGAGAGCGAGAGGGAAAGAGGTAGACAGGGCGTGTGTGTGTGTGTGTATGTGTGTGTGTGTGTGTGCGTGCACGTGCAACGATGCGCGCGCAGTCCCGCGCCCCCCCCCCCCGGGTCGGACCTTCCAGAATCCCTGGCTTCTGGGGCTCCTGGGCGCCCCTGCCGAGGGTCCCATGAGACTCCGCGCTTCTGGGAGTCCCTGCCAAGTCGCGCAAACGAGCCGGCGGTGGCCCCAAGAGGGTCCAATCTGGCCTCCTGATGGCCCAAGAGACCTTCCAAACGTTCCAAAGAGCTCCAAGAGGAACCCCCAAATGGAACTCCAAATCCAAAACCTGTGCGTTTCCTGTAGGTTTTTGAATTATGTTGGCATTCTCGCTTTTCCGTGCTACCGACGCCCCAGGAAGGCCCAAAAGGCCCCTAACATCGCCCCAGGACAACCCATGACGGCCCGAGAAGGCTCCAAGACGGGCGAAGCTGCCCCCACGATCCCCGAAGAAGGTCCCAATACGGACCTTCAGACCGCCACCAGGCGCGAGCCCTCCGGCCCTAAAGGACCCATGAAACTGCCAACAGGCGCCCAAACGCCCCAACCAGGGTTCACGAGGTTCCCAATAAGACCGAAAATCAACCCAAAGGGGCTCGAAATTATTTTCAAAACCAGCAACATTGTTTCCGCGACAACCCCGAGACCCCTCCCCACAGACCCAAACACATCGAAGAGGCCTTTGACGTACGACCCCGCATTGGCGCCCTCGTCCAGCACTTCCGCTAAATATGTCCGAATCCCAGTTTCGCGACGTTCCCTCCAGGCACGTGGGTAGGAGGAGGAGGAGGAAGAGTAGGTGGTGGGGCTTGCACCGCGGATCAGGTGAGGCCTCGAGGAGGATGAGGATGAGGAGGAGGAGGAGGAGCAGCAGCAGGAGGAGTAGGGAGTAGGAGGATCGGGCAGTGCCAAGGGAGATCACCACTAGGGGCGGTCATCACTTCCTTCGTGGACCTCAGAACGAAGAGGGGGAAGAGGGCACAGTAGGGAAGGATAACGAATGGCATATTAGGAGGACGATGTCGGACAAGACGACGAAGAATTATCGCCATTTTGTATACTTTACCTTCCTGCGCTTCCGCCGCGACTTCCGTCTGCATGCCAATCCTCAGGGACCAAGGTGCGTGGCGCGAAGCGCCAACGTGGTCTTGTGTATACATAGATATAGAGATATACATATTGTCTAAACAAAAAAGGGTTGCGTTGTCGTCGTCGTCGTAGCCTTCGTCGTCGTCGCCGCTGCCGTCGTCGTCGCCGTCGTCGTCGCAGCCGCCGCCGTCGTCGGCATCGTCGTCGCCGAGACGGGGGAAGGGCGGAAAGAGAGGGGGTGCAGATCAGCAGGAAGGCGCGAGGCAGGAGAGGGCACAGGAGGGGGAGGAGGAGGACGAGGAGGAGGAGGAGGACGAGGAGGAGGAGGACGAGTATTTTTTTGAGCTCAACGCCCGCACAGCCTCTCACTGTCAGCAGCGACGGCTGGGAAATCGCTGCTGCATCCACCATGCCACTGAGGCAAGGAGGTACAGCCACGAAGGTGGCAGGATACTATTAGTCAGAAGAACCCGACTCAGCATCCAGGTCCCTCCTTCCCTCACTGCCGCTCCGAGCGGCTCCAAGAAGGCGGAGGGACTTAGAAGCGACGCTGAGCTCTCGGGCCTGACGGGCCTGACGGACCTCCTCCTCCGAGGGGGGGGGGAGGCTCGACCGAGGAAGCAAGGACCGCTTCCTCCTCCACCAAATGGTTCCCAGCTGGGGCCACCACGGCCCTGCTGCACGAGGAAGGCTCCTCGGCCTGAGAACCAAACAGAGCACAGATCTGGTGAGTGTTCACCGTCACATCCCGCTTCCAGGGGTTCGGATGTATTCCTCGGCAGAGGTCCCTCCAAGAATACTCAGCATGCCTGGAGGGCCGATCGTTACAAAACTTCCCGAGGCCGTCCACACGTGCACCTGTGCTGTGGTAGCGGCATTTCACGCAAACAAAAAGGTGCGAACCGTCACTGCAGGAGAAAGCCAAAACACGATGTCGCAGTGAAACAAGCACACCTTCATCAAGCTTGCACCTGCCCGTGCATATACCAGGATCAGGGACACCAGACGCCCTGGAACCCAGCAAACAAACACGACAACGCCACACACCAGACCAGGGGGCCCAGTCGTGTCCAGGCTTGTCCCAGGAAAACCTGGGCTTGGGGGCAGGCGGAATGTATTCGGCATCAGATAAGTCTAGACGGGGCCACTCTAAAAGAAGCTTGGCCCCCAGTCGACACACTGATTTGGCAATGTCAATCCTCTTGCTGAGATCTTCACTGCCATTAACATCAGTCGCATGAAACGAAAGCGCAGCTTTGGCCGCCGCGCCTGCATCGTTATTGCATTTGCGACAAAACCGTTCAAACTGGTCGATGCCAGCTTCATCTAAATCTTTGTGAGCAGCGACCTTGACAATATCCTTAATGCACGTGCCTTCTCGAGCATTGGCTTCCATGATTATGCCACTGTACACCCTCTTACCCGAGAGGCGCTCGACAGGAGGCAACTTAGAATGCTTAACCACATTCAAGCAATCTGAGAACAGGGTGGAAGGGTACTTGGCCATATTACCAGCCATGCCACGAGCTAAATATTCTCCAGCCTGCGGGGTCTGAGGGTATTGAGCCCACACAGGCCCCATAACCTCCCCTAACAGGTCCCCACTGTCGTTGTGCATCGTGATGGCCCACGACGCACGGCTAAGTTCACGAATTATGTGCCGCCTGCAAGACCCGTCGAGAAACAGCGAACCCCAGACAGCACCTTCCTGGGGAGCCTCGAAACCTTCGGGGCCCTCGAGCAGATCACGATGCCAGCGGAACACCACATTACCTTCGAGGCAGGGCCTCGGAAGGGTATCGGCGGGATGGGCGAAAGCCCCGAAGCAGAAAAGGAGGTCCGAGTAGTCCTCAGCCTCAGTGTCTAGGGCCGCAGCAATGATCCAGTCCTTAGCAAGCTCCGCTCTCTGATCGCACACATGTGGGCATACCCACATGTGGAGGAGGACGAGTAGGAGGAGGAGGAGGAGGAGGAGGAGGAGGAGGAGGACGAGGAGGAGGAGGAGGAGGAGGAGGAGAGTGGAGGAATTCCTGATGTAAGAGAGCGGGATGAGAAGGAAGGCGCGGCCGCGATGACGTCGAAAGCGCACGCCGAATGCGATCCTGCGGTGGCCTTGTCCCAATCTAGCCAGAAATCCGCATCGTTCAAAGCATTTCTCTGGCACTGCTTTGAACGACCGAAGCAGCGATTCAGACCTGCTTTGCTGTGTTACACTTGTTTGGGATTTTCGATGACACGTCGTTCATTTCTAATTGTGCTCATTTCTAATTGTGCTCGTCTCTGATTGTTCCTGGCCCCATAGTGGCCAGGAAGAGGCCCAGGATGGAACAATTAGAAATGAAAGGATCTAGGCCCCCAAAAAAATCAAAGAACCCTCGAATAATTAGAAATGAACAGTGTGTACGGGAACAGAAGCACAACGGATACAAATAAGGCAAACGGCAGGCGGTGCTGGGGGCACGCATGGAGAGGAAAGCAGGCAAACCACTGGAGGGCGTGCCGCCAGCACAACACAACCGGAGGGGGGGACATCTTGTACAAAACAAGCGTTTTGTATAGTATTCCCCCTCTTCCTGTTTTTGGACGCGCCGAAAGCATCCCCAAACCAGAGGGGGGGAAGCAGCGTACCAAACAGGAGTACGCTATTTACCCCCTCCTGGCTTGGCAGACCCGAGTTGCCAAGCTCGCTGGAGCTGCCGTCTTCGGCGCCCTTGGCGAGCTAAGTGTCCTGTGCGCTCGCACATGGAAGCTGTGCTCGAGGCGGCGGCACATGGCACCGCCACGGGCCAGCGACTGCCCTCAACATCTACACTCGCGTGACACTGGTGAATCTATTTGTACGCAGGGTGATCTATCTGTACGCAGCGTACTCCAGATTTCGTAATAAAAGGGAGGGGGTCTGGACCCTCCAAGACAAGCCATTTCAGACCTCCCCCGTGGGAGAACCCTCCGAAACATCGTCCCCAGACCCCCCCAGGCCCTCCAAGATAGCCTGGAAGAGACCCCCCCAAAAATGAGACCCCCCTCCCTTTATTACGAAATCTGGAGTAGGGTACGAACGCTTCGTCGCTGCTGGAAGGGTCTCCTCCTGCCCAGCGCCGGGAGCGCCGGGCTGCTCCCGGGCTCGAGGGGCGCGGCGAGCCGCGAGGTGGCCGTCGGCGGGGCGCCTCCGCAGCCGCCGCGGCAAGGGGCAGGGCGGGGGCGGAAGCGGGCGGCGGCCCCGCCGTCCAAGGTCCGGAAGAGGCTGGGCGGTGGCTGTCCCACGTGTTCGGCCTGCTGGGCGCCGCTCTCGGGCTCCTGGGGGCGGCTCAGGCGGCCCGGGCCAGGGGGAAGGTGTGGGGGCTTCCGGGGACCCCGTAGTGGGCGCAGACGGACGTACTGACCCACTCCCCCCTTTAGGGCACGTCCGACCAGAACTACGAGGTGAGATTTTCCAAGAGGCATGCCTACACCATGCCCACCACTACAAGATGCTTCAATGTGCGCGTCTCCCCTGTGGGAACCACGACGCACACATAGTACAAGCATGTCTAAATCGGACGGGCCGTATTGGAACAAGTGAAGACGTTGAATGCCCGGCGACGACGTCGCCGCCGACCACGACGACTGCGGCAGAGGAGTGCTGGTCGGCGCGAGCGGCGGCTGATCATCGATTCGGGCGACGAGCTCTGCGCCTTCAGCCCACGCAAGCGGGCGGCATCGCCAAATGCAGAGGCAACCAGCCTAAGCCGACGGCATGATGAGGATACATCCGGACGAAGATGACTCGGGAATCTCTGAGCAACGGCAGGTGTGGAGACGAGCGCCGCGGCCGCTTCCAGAGCACTCCGGAGCGCTCTGCCCATGGGAGCGTTCCAGGACGCTCTGGGGAGACTTATCCGCATCAAAAGCCTGCCTGGACTCGAAAAATGGGAACGGCCAGCGTCTGGTATATGATGTTCGGCCTCCGGGGCCTTGTCAAAAACGACTCAGGATTAAAAATCGGCCTTGGGAAGCGGGGGTCGAGACCTCTGGAGATCCACTTTGCCGAACATCATGTCGGAGGCTGGGGGGGATGAAAGCGTCAGAGGTGTTTGCGATCTTCCCCACATGTCGGCCTCCGAAAGGCTTCTCGCCCCCTCGGTTGGTTTCCCGTCGAAATCCTGGTCAGAACGCACCCCCAGACAGGCCCACAGGCCGATTTCTGACCCCTCCACGCAGACATCTAGCGGCTGGAAAAATCGGGACGACCTGCTTTTCGTGATTTGGGGCGTCTGGAAGCTGGTTCAGGGACCAAGCAAATCGCCTCCCGCAGACCGAACATGACAAAACATGTTTTTAGACGTTGGGGATGGGTCTCCGCCTTGGAGACCCCCCCTAACCGCGGAACCCAAACCGAGAAAAAAACCAAGGGTCTCCGCCCTGGGACCGGCCCCCGGACCTGTCAATGGGCGCGTTGTGGCAGACATTCGGCAGGAACTCAGCTGCGGAGACAAGAGCGCTCCAGTAGTCCAAGAAGAGCTGGACAAAGACAGAATACTCAGCCCAAGGACGAGATCAGGACCGTGGCCTGGGCTCTTCTCTTCCTCGCTTCGGCCCTCCCGACCACCGGGAGTGGCACTCAGAGCGCTGCCCCGACGCAACCGGCCGAAGGCGCCTCCGGCGTCCCCGGGCTGAGCCCCCCCAGCGCGCTCCACGCCGCAGCTCTGGCCCATCCGGCCTGCTGGCGGGGCGCGGCGGGGGGCCCACAGCGCACCATCCAGAATTGTCCTCTGAGCGAACTCGGCAGCTGAACGGACCCAGGGTTGAACCCGTTCAGCGACCGAACGGGCCAAATTCCCACCGTTCTCTTGGACCTGAGCCCTTTCGGCTGCCCGTTCGGCGGCCGAGCGGGCTCAGACGCAGAACGGGCTCAGACGGGCACCCTGGAGCAGTGCATAGCAGTTTCGCGTCATGACGACATCGGCACTGAGTTCACATGCCACATGGATTGCTCAATTTGAACCGGTCGCGTCTTTCCGACAATAGTAACGCAGATCGCTAGTTATCGGCCGATCCTGAACCACTGGGGGGCCGTCGCATCCACGAAGCGCAAACCGATCGTAGGCGCAGGCGTCTCCTCTGCGCCAACCTGATGAGCACAGACAGAAGTTGGGTGAGCTGACTTGCTCAATCCAATCGTTATTCCTCTGGTTCGGCCTCCGTGGACCATCAAGAAGGGATCCAGGATAAACTGCCGGGCGGGGAAGAGACCGATCCCCCTCAACCTCAACATTCTCGCTTGTCTCCTCCTCCTCCTCCTCCTCCCCATCACCCAGAATGGAGCTTGATAAGTCGTTGGTCGCCGACCAGAAGATGCCAGCCGTGTCATGACATGGGCCGATCGGGGCCAATCTTGGCGGTGCCCGCCAAACGAGGCCTGTTTAGACAACTGATGGAGCCTTCTCCAAGCCGGTCAAGCCGACAGTCAACAGCCGATGTGATAATCACAACGCGATCGCATGATAAAACAGAGAAGAGAAAAACTAGAAAACCTACACATTGTACACAGTTCTTTGGAGGACATATTGGACATGTTCGCTCTTGCAGAACCACGCCATGTGTGTCCGTAACACGCGGGCGGTCGAGCACTGCCCTGTGTTCCCGAGGAAGGTGGTGTGCGCAGCACGGTTTCTTGGTAGAGGCGGCGTTGCGGGGGGGAAGAAGACGAGGGCCGAAATTGGCTAAGGCCCAGAGGTGGAGGCAGCAGGAGGATGAGGACACTTAAATATATGTTAATAGAGCGGTGAACCAAACAGGGCCATCTGGCCTATCTCCTTACTGCCTGGCCCTGGGAGGATGTGTTGTTCCTCATTGTTCATGGTCCCTCCATCGCACTAGTGCTCGGCCCCCACTACCTCCAGCACCTGCCACTCACTGTCTCGCTCGCACCCATACTCAAATATGCCGTGGGACAAACTGACAGTCGTTCCGTCGCAACGCTGCGCTCCTCTTCCGCATTCCGCACCTTCCACTCGTCTTCCTTCTCCTAATCCGCGACGGAGCAGAAAAGTGCTGGCCACTCTCATGAAGCGTGGGTCGTCAACGTAACTGCCCCGTTTCGAAAGTGCCACCCTGCCCCTGTCTCTCCACCCCCCCGCGCCAATGACACCTGACCACCTGCATCAACCCTGAATGCAAACATACTGACGTCTCTCACCCTTGATCTCGCCGCATTCCGCCGGCCTTCGGCTGGCTTCCGCCAGCGGGGCCACCCCCGTGTTGCTTCCGCCAGCGGAGCCGCATTAGTGTTGCTTCCGCCAGCTTTCGCCGAGGACGACACAGTTTCGATCCCGAAAAGGCGACGCCCTTTCTGGCGCGCCCCACATGGTACCAGGGTACCCTTCATTCATGCTGAAGGGCAGACTGGCCCATCGGTCGCAAACGTGCACGCATATCTGCCAGAGGCTCATGCTTTTTACCCTCGTTCCTGGCAAGCCCCTTCAAGAAACAGCCGACGTCAGAAACGTCCAAAAACCTCGGACCTGGATCTCAGACCGCGATCCGCTAACGTTCGGCCCCAGCCCCTCCATGGGGACCATCGGTTTGCTCCAGCTGCGTCCTGCCGCGGCGACGGGGAACTCCAAAAACGCCCAAAAACCTCCAAAACGACCTCGTCGTCTTCGTTGTCCTCGGTGTCGGCGGCGTCGTCGTCGTCGTCGGCGTCGGAGTCGTCGACGTCGTCGGCAGCGCCGGCGTCGGCGTCGAAATCGGCGGCTGCGGCGTCGACGTCGGCATCGTCGGCGTCGGCGGGAGGAGTAGGGAGGAGGAGGCGGAGGCGGAGGAGGAGGAAGATGAGGAGGAGTAGGGATGGTCGGGGTTTCGTAGAGGGGGGGCATCCCAAGGTGGGGTTAATGAACATACCCAGCCGGACATTCACACTTCCTTCTTGCACGGGCTGTTCTGACAGCGGCGGCGGTGTCGGCGTCAACGTCAAAGTCGACGTCGTCGGCGTCGTTGTCGTCGTCGGCGGCGACGGAGTCGGCGTCGGCGTCGGCGTCGGCGTCAGCGTCGGCGTCAGCGTCGACATTGGCGTCGTCGGCGTCGTCGTCGCTGTCGTCATCGTCGGCGGCGTCGGCGTTGGCGTCGTCGTCGGCGTCGGCGTCGTCGGCGTCGTCGGCTGCGTCGTCGTCGGCGAAGACGTCGGCGTCGTCGTCGTCGGCGTAAGCGTAAGCGTCGGCCTCAAGTCGGCGTCAGCGGCGGCGGCGTCGTCGTCGGCATCGGCGTCGGCGGCGTCGGCGTCGTCCCCGGCGTCGTCGTCGGTGTCGTTGTTGTAGTCGGAGACGTCGACGTCGTCGGCGTCGGCGTCAGCGTCGACGTTGGCGTCGTCCTCGGCGTCGTCATCGTCATCGGCGTCGGCGTCGGTGTCGGCGTCGGCGTCGGCGTTGTCGTCACCGTCGTCGTCGTCGTCGTCGTCGTCGTCGTCGTCGTCGTCGTCGTCGGCGTCGGCGTCGGCGTCGTCGGCGTCGGGGTCGGCGTCGACGTCGGCGTTGACGTTGGCGTCGGCGTCGTCGTCGATTTTCGTTTCGGCGTCGGCGTCGGCGTCGGCATCGGTGTCATCGTCGTCGTCGAGGGCGTGGGCGTCGGTGTCGTCGTCGTCGTCGTCGTCGTCGTCGTCGTCGGCAGCGTCGGCGTCGGAGTCGGCGTCGTCGTCGTCGGCGTCGGCGTCGTCGTCGGCGTCGTCGTCGTCGGCGGCGTCGACGTCGGCGTCGGCGTCGGCGTCGGCAGCGTCGTCGTCGGCGTCGGTGTCGTCGTCGTCGGCGTCGCTGTCGTCGTCGTCGTCGTCGTCGTCGTCGTCGTTGTCGTCGTCGTCATCGGTGTCGGAGTCGTCGGCGTCGTCATCTCCCTCAGCATCGATATCGTCGGCGTCGGCGTTGGCGGCGTCATCATCGTCGGCGTCTTCGGCGTCGGCGTGGTGGTCGTTGGCGGCGACAACGTCGGCATCAAGGTCTTCGGAAGCGGCATCGGCGTCGGTGTCAGCGCCAGCATCGGCGTCGTCGTTGGCGTTGGCGTCGGCGTCGATGTCAGTGTCGGCGTCGGCGCCAGCATCGCCGTCGGCGTCGGCGTCGACGTCGGCGCCGGCATCGGCGTCGGCGTCGAAGATGGCGTCGACGATGGCGTCGTCCCCAGCGTCAGCCTCGGCGTCGGCGTCCGCGTCGTCGTCGTCGACGTCGTCATCGTCGTCGTCGGCGTCGGCGCCGGCGTCGGTGTCGGCGTCGACGTCGGTGGAAGGCGTCGGCGTCGGCGTCGCCGTCGTTTTTGTCGCCGTCATCGTCGGCGTCGGCGACGGCTTCGTCGTCGGTGTCGGAGTCGGCGTCGGCGCAGGCATCAGCGTCGTCGTCGGCGTCGTCTTCGTCGGCGTCGGCGTCAGCGTCGACGTCGGAACTGGCGTCGGCGTCGGCGTCGGTGTCGTCGTCGTCGGCAGCGTCGGCGTCGTCGTCATCGTCTTCGTCGGCGTCGGCGCAAGCATCGGCGTCAGCGTAGGCGTCGGTCGGCGACGTCGTCGGCGTCGTTGCCGTCGGCGTCGGCGTGGGCATCGTCGGCGTCGGCGTCGGCGCCAGCGCCAGCGTCGGCGTCGGCGACGGCGTCGGCGTCGTCGACGCCGTCGGCGCCTGCGTCGGCATCTGCGTAGGCGTCGGCGTCGTCGTCGTCGTCGGCGTCGATACGGTGACCACGTCGACGCCAACGCCAACGACCACGTCGTGGTCGTTGGCGTCGTTGTCGTCGGCGTCTGCGTTGGCGGCGTCGTCGGTGTCGGCGTCGGCGTCGGCGTCGGCGTCAGCCGGGCGTCGGCGTAGGTGTCGGCGTCCTCGTCGTTTGCATTGTCGTCGGCGTCGGCGTCGTCGACGTCGTCGAGGTCGGCGTCGGCATCGGCGGCGTCGGCGTCGGCATTGGCGTCGACGTCGTCGGCAGTGTCGGCAGCGGCGCCCGCATCGGCGTCGGCGTCAGCGTCGGTGTCAGCGTTGTCGTGGTCGTCCGCGTCGTTGTCGGGGATCTTCTGACCCGGGTCAATCCAGACCCGGGTCAGCAGGAAATCCAAAACTGCATTGCAGGAAAAAAAACTGCAACGCAGGGCTTCGCAAACCCGGGTCAGCCAACATGCGCGGCCGCCTCACAGCCACGGGCGGCTCGCTAACCCGGGTCAGCCAGAGGGGGTCTTCGCAGGATGATGCAGGATCCAGTGACCTGGCTGACCCCCGTTTGCATTGACCCCCGTCTCAAGGCTCCCGAGCGTCGGCGTCGTCGTCGGCGGCGGCGTCAACGTTGGCGTCGGCGTCGGTGTCAGCATCGTCGTCGTCGTCGTCGTCGGCTTCGGCGTCGGCGTTGGCGACGGCGTCGACCTCATCGTCGGCGTCGGCGTAGATGTTGGAGTCGACGAAGGCGTCGTCGGCGTCGGCGTCGGCGACGGCGTGGTCGTCATCGTCGTCATCGTCGTCGACGTCGATGTGGTCGTCGGCGTCGGCGCCAGCATCGGCGTCGGCGTCGGCGTCGACGTCGGGGTCGGCGGCGTTGGCGTCGGCGTCGACGTTGGCGGCGTCCTCGGCGTCGGCGTCGGCGACGGCGTCGTTGTCGGCGTCGGCGGTGTCGGCGTCGGCGTCGGCGCAAGCATCGGCGTCGGCGTCGGCGTCGGTCGGCGACGTCGTCGGCGTCGTTGCCGTCGGCGTCGGCGTGGGCA